CTGTCTCTTTGGAGTTCTATACACTTCTTGTATTTGTATGGGTACGTCTTTCCTTAATTTGGGGAAATTCTCTTCTACAGTCCTGTTGACGATCTGGTCAACACCATTAACGTGAAATTCTTCTCCTTCCTCTGTGCTTATGACACACAGATTTGGTCTTTCATGGTGTCCCACGTCTCCTGCATATTCCATGCCTGTTTTTTTTTTTTTGTCATAATCTCTGTTTGAGTGGTCCAATTCTTCAACTTTATCCTCCAGTGTTGACAGTCTGTTCTCCATTTCATTCATTCTATCTGTGAAGCTTTTCCCTGTTGTTTCAAGTTGGCTGGCTGAGTTTTTCACTTCCTTCTTCATTTCAGTCTGCGTTTTCTTCAATGTTTCTCTTTTGTGAATTCATTCAGAAGTTTATCTTCTTTTAGTTCTTTGACTTGTTTGTGTGTGTGTTCTTTAAATTCGTTGAATTCCTTGTTTGTGGTTCTGGTATGAAACTCAAGCCTTCCTTTGTTGAGTTGAAGTCTGCTTCAGTTTGTATTAGTGATGTGCCTTTGCTGTTTTCTTATCGGGTGTGTAAAGCTGGTTGGTCCAGGTTTCAGTTTCTCTCAAATTTTATTTTGGAGGGAATTGATGGCTTCAGATCAGCTACTCAGGAGCTCCCAAAGAGGCTCAAGTCAGGCTCCAGTCAGGTGCACTCAGGCTTCCTTTTAACCTTTGGACCCCTACCAACAAGTACTCACAGCACAACTTGGGAAGTTCACTGAGGGGAGGTCTGATTTGGGCACTCTCTGGCAGTCTGCTGAGGTCTCAGCCCCTACTACGGGGCAAAGAAGTCTAGCCTGGGGACATGGGAGGGGCCTTGTGTAATCCCAATTAGGAGGTTGGGCACTGTGTGATTTGGGGAAGCTCATCACCAGGTGAGGCCAGATCCAGGCACTCTCTGGCAGTCTACTAAGGTCTCAGCCCATACCCTACTGTAGAACAGAGGGGTCTAGCCCTGGCAAAGTGGGAGAGGCCTCACATGGTTCCAATTAGGGGGTTGGGCACGGTTCAGTTTGGGGAAGCTCACCACCACACGGAGGCCAGATCTAGGCAGGCAGGTCTGCTGAGGTCTCAGCCCCTACTGTAGGGCAGAGAAGTCTAGCCCTAGGGATGTGGAAGGGGCCTCACATGGTCCCAATTAGGGGGTTGGGCACAGTGCAATTTGGGGAAGCTCACCACCAGGCGAAGGCCAGATCCAGGCACTCTCCAGTATCTCACTTTTTAATGTAATATTTTTATTAATCTTTTGAGAATTCCATGCATGCATACAATGTATTTTAATTTTATTCACCCCCCCCCACTCCTCCCTAACTCCTTCCAGATCTACCTCCCAACTTTATAGCCTCCTTTTTCTTAAAAGCCCATGATGCCAGTTTGTGCTGCCCATATGCTCATGGGTGTGGGGCAATCCACCACCATGTGGTCATAGGTCGGGGGCAATCCACCACCATGTGGTCATGGGTGGGGGGCAATCCACCACCATGTGGTCATGGGTGTGGGGCAATCCACCACCATGTGGTCAACCTACCAGGGGCCACACCTTAAAGAGAACTCACTCTTCCTCCCTTAGAAGCCATCAACTATCAATAGCTCCTCAGCTAAGGGTGGGAATTGGTGGGCTCCATGGCTGGCTTGGTCTTGTGCTGGTCTTGTGCAGGTAACCACAGCCGCTGTGCATTAGAGTACAACGGTCCTGTCATGTCCAGAAGACACTGCCATGGTCCAGTCCTCCCTGACTTGTCCAGTCCTCCCTGACTTGTCCAATCCTCCCTGACTTGTCCAGTCCTCCATGACTTCTGGCTCTTGCAATCACTCTGCCTCTTCTTCCACAAAATGGTCCCCAAGCCTTGGGTAGAGGAATGCCATACTGACCCTCTCTTATCTACCCAGTTCCTGCTAGTCCCGAGCCCTCCCGACCAGTCCAACCTGACTCTAGACTCTGCCCGGAGCTTGCATCCAGACAAAGACTAAGCCCCCGGTGGGATCTGAGGCTTTGAGAGCTACAGGTGCCTCCTCTCATTCTGGGGACGGAGGGAGGGGGCACCCACTGCCACATAACATATAGCTTGGCCAGTCCCAGTACCAGCAACCCAGCCTGTCCTGGGTATCAGGGAAGAATCTAAGCCAGACAGGCTGGGCACAGAGACTCTTGGCTCTCATACTCACAGCCAAATAGAGCCCTATGTGCTGCTCAGTGCCCACCACAACCAGCAGCACTTAATCATGGTTCCTCCCAGGTAGCTGTGTTCCCCTCTCAGCCTACCCATGTCTATCCCTAGGCTGAGAGCAGGGCAAGTGGCCTCAGGACAGTCATCTGAAAGGAACAACATCAGGCAGGGCCCCAATTCCCTTAGATCTCACCCACAGCCCTTGGAGGTCTCTAATACCATCTGATAATGTCAGGCCAGTCCCTACCCTGCCTGACCCTAACAGTGGCCAGCAGCTCTCTGGAATCTTCCAAACGCACCTAGTACCTAGCACCCCTCTGTGAAAGCCAGGCTTAGCAGAGCTGAAGTCCCTTGTCCCCCTGCACTGGGACCTCTGACCCTGGGCATCCTGGGTCCAAAGAACAGCACCCTAATCTCCCTCCCCAGTGCTCTATGTATCCCTCTTGAGACTGAGACCCCACACTCACAAGCCAGCTTAGCGGCTACTGTAGCTAGTCCATATGTGTGCATGGGACTCCTGGTAAGCACAGGCCTGCAGAGATGTCAAAGTGGACAGGGGAAGCTGCCAGACCAGAGCCCAGCCTTACCCTTCATCTCTCCTCACGTCCCTCCCCCAACAGAGACTTGGTGCAGCGCCCCCCAGGCCAGAGGCCCGGCAGACACTAACTGCCTCTGTACATCCAGTCACAACCCAGATGTCCTCTGGCCTCCTGGTTCCCTTGCCAGGCAGAATGGGGGGGGGACACTGCAGGACATCCACTTGTGGGTGCCAGGGAAGGTTACTACCTTCAGGGGACCAGATCCAAGGCTGAAGCAGGAACGAATGGCACTGCCAGAGGCCTTGCACATCGGGCACAGAGGCTGCCCTGCTTTGTGCCTCATTTACCGCATACAGAGTGGCAGCCACACTCTCTCTGCAGGTCTGCAACGGAGAGGGCGATGCCGGTGCCTCCCCGCTTCTCTGCACAGTGGCACTCCACTGGGGCAGCACAGTGACCAGAAGCACACACAAGGAGCATCAGGACAAGAGCTGTACAGAGGAGACCTGGAACCGGATTCTAGAGAGGAGAGTGCCTTGCCCGGAAGATGCAGGTGTGTCTCCTAGAAAGGGCCTCACCTGAGACCCCACCGTCCCTCAGTTGACTTCCCAAGAACAGAGAGAAAAGGGAACTTCCAGGGCTGCCGAGGTCGGGGGGTTCCCACCCCACTTTTAGCTGAGGGCACTGAGGCAGAGCTGCCTCCCCCAGGCACTACCACCTGGGCACAAAAGTGACAATGGTTACTAAAGATTCACCCCGTCCAGGAGCCCGTCCAGGGACCTGAGATGGCTGCAGATGAGGACAGCCCGGGCGGTCCACCACAGGCACCTAGCAGAGGATCTCAGGTACCACAGTCCAGGGGCACCCCAACCAAAATGCTGGCCCAAGTGGCAGAGACAGGCAAGCTCTAGGGCCATGGATAAGGGGGAGGGGACTGCCCTCTCAGCATAGACAGAGCTTCTTAGTCATTGAATGTCCTTCAGATGTCTCTTCCCTGCACTGGGCACACAGATAACACAAGCTGCCTACAGCCAACCAGAGAAAACAGGAGACTGTGAATCTCAACCAGACAGGACTGGATCAAGCTTAAGTAATGATGTCAAGGGAAACAGAGACCCCAGGCTGGACTACACCTGAATCTGCCTGTAAGCAACCAGAACAAGATGTCACCCAGAGGCAACAAAGGAGGGCAGGGAACTTTCCTGTGCTGAACTAACGGCAGGGTGGACAGTCTACTGCTGCACTTGCTGGGCTGAACCTGGGCAGAACCAGGCTAAATTGGGTGGGGCTGGGCTGGACTGGGCTGGGCTGGGCTGGATTAGGAGCTGGGTTAAACTGATCTGCCTTGACCTCGGTTAGGCTAGGTGGGCTGGCTGAGCTGGGCTAAGCTAAGCTGGGCTGAGGTAAAATAAACTGGTTTCAGGTGGGCTGGACTAGCTGAACTAGACTGAGCTGAGCTAAATTGGATTGAACGAGACTGGGCTGAGATAGCTAAAATTGAACTGGGTTGAGCTAAAATGAGCAGAACTACACTGAGCTAATCTGAGCTGGGCTGAGCTGCGCTGAGCTGGGCTGAGCTGGGCTGGGTTGAGCTGGGCTGGGCTGAGCTGGCCTGAGCTTGCCTGAGTTGGACTGAGCTGGGCTGGGCTGGGTTGAGCTGGGCTGGGCTGAGCTGAGCTGAGCTGGGCTGAGCTGGGCTGGGTTGAGCTGGACTGGGCTGAGCAGATATGGGCTGAGTTGTGTTGAACTGGGTTGAACTGGGCTGAGCTGGGCTGAACTGGGCTGAACTGGTCTGGGCTGGCCTGGGCTGAGCTGAGCTGAGCTGATCTGAGCTGGACTGAATTGGGCTGGGCTGGGCTGGGCTGGGCTGAACTGGGCTGGGCTGGGCTGGGCTGGGCTGGGCTGGGCTGGACTGGGCTGGGCTGGACTGGGCTTAAACGGGTGGGCGGGAACACTAACTGTTGCCATGGAGACCGAGCGCTGTGGCTTGGCTCACCGGCGCCTCGCGGCCAGCCAATCAGAGCCGTCTCTGAACTCGGAGAACTACATTTCCCAGAAGCTTCGTGGACTCCGCTTTGTTGTTCAGCACCGGGGGCGCTGGACCACTCCAGCTTCTAGGCAAGGTTGTGGCTTTGCTGATACGAGTGAGGAGGACATGGTCACTACCTGACCTCTCGCGGGCTGAGAAGGGGCGCCCCGGCAGCGTGGCAGGTGCACCAGCGACAGGGGGTGACTTGTGGTCTTGAGCGGCTGCTGGATGCCTGTCCCGGAGGAAGAGGAGACGCTCCTGCCGCTCGCGCAGAGATGGCCCCGAGCGAGCAAGTTCCTACTGTCCGGCTGCGCTGCCACCGTGGCCGAGCTAGGTACCGGGCCGGCCCCGCCTCGGCCTCCCAGTGGGCTGAGTTGAGCTGGACTGGGCTGAGCTGGGCTGAGCTGGGCTGGGCTGGGCTGGGCTGGTGGGCTGGGCTGAGGAGAAATGGGCTGAGATGGGCTGAGCTAGTCTGGGCTGGACTGGACTGAGCTAGCCTAGGCTGGGCTGAGCTGGGCTAGGCTGGACTGGGCTGGACTGACCTGAGCTAGCCTGGCTAGGCTGAGCTAGGCTGGGCTGAGCTGAGCTGAGCTGAGCTGGGCTGGGCTGGGTTGAGCTGGACTAGGCTAGGCTGAGCTGGGCTGAGCTGGGCTGGGCTGAGTTGACTGGGCTGGGCTGAGCGAGGCTGGGCTGGGCTAGTGGGCTGGGCTGAGGAGAAATGGGCTGAGCTGGTCTGACCTGGACTGGGCTGGGCTGGGCTGGACTGGACTGAGCAAGCCTAGGCTGAGCTGACCTGGACTAGGCTGGAGTGGGCTGGACTGAGCTGGGCTGGGCTGGGCTGAGCTGAGCTGAGCTGAGCTGAGCTGAGCTGAGCTAGGCTGGGTTGAGCTGGACTGGGATAGGCTGAGCTGGACTGAGCTGAGCTAGCCTGGGCTAGGCTGAGCTGGTCTAGGCTGAGCTAGCCTGGGCTGGGCTGAGCTGGCCTGGGTTGGGCTAGACTGGATTGAGCTGAACTGAGCTGGACTGTGCTGGGTTGAGTTGAGTTGGGCTGAACTGGGCTAAACTAAGCTAAACTAGGCTGAAGTGAGCCGAGTTGGGTTAAGCTGGGTTGAGCTAGGTTGAGCTAATCTGAGCTGGGTGGGGCTGATCAGGGCTGAGCTAGACTGGACTGGGCTGGGCTGAATTGGGCTGAACTGGGCTGGGCTGGGCTAGACTGAGATGAGCTAGGATAAACTGGGTTAAACTGACTTGGACTCAGCTGAGCTGGGCTTGGCTGGGTTAGCCTTGGTTAGCTAACTAGGCTGTGCTAAGCTGAGCTGGGCTAAGCCATACAGAGTTGGTACAAGATGGGATAGACTGAACTGAGCTAAACCAGGCTAGGTTGAACTGGGCTGAGCTGAGTTGGGCTGGGATAAGCTAGGCTAAACTTAGCTGAGCTGAGCTGAGCTGGGGGAGGTTTGGCTGAGCTGGGCTGGGCTGCTCTGAGCTAGGCCTGGCTGACTAGTCTTGGCTAGCTTTGGCTATGCTAGGCTGGGCTGAGCTGGGCTGAGCTGGGATGGGCTAAGATGAACTAGGCTAGGCTGTACTAAGATGGCTAAACTGTGCTAGTCTGCACTAAGCCGGGCTAAGAGGGAATGAGCTGAGCTGTACTGGGCTGGGTTGGCCTGGGTTGGGCTGGGCTAGACTAGGTTGAGTTGACCTGGGTTGGACTGGGCTGAGCTGGGCTGAGGTGTTCTGGGCTGGGCTGGGCTGAGCAGAAATTGGCTGAGCTGGACTGAGCTTGGCTGGGCTGGACTGGACTGAGCTAGCCTGGGCTGGGCTGAGCTGGACTGAGCTGAGCTAGCCTGGGCTAGGCTAAACTGGTCTAGGCTGGACTGGGCTGGACTAGGTTGAGCTGACCTGGGTTGGACTGGGCGAGCTGGCCTGAGCTGGGTTGAGCTAGGCTGGGCTAAGATGAACTAGGCTAGGCTGTGCTAAAATAGCTAAGCTGTGTTAGTGTGCACTGAGCTGGGCTAAAATGGAATGAGCTGAGCTGTACTGGGCTGGGTTGGGCTGGGTTGGGCTGTGCTAGACTAGGTTGAGCTGGCCTGAGTTGGACTGGGCTGAGCTGGCCTGAGGTATTCTGGGCTGGGCTGGGCTGGGCTGGGCTGGGCTGGGCTGGGCTGGACTACATTGCGCTGACCTGGGTTGGACTGGGTAAGCTGGGCTGAGCTGTTCTGGGCTGGGCTGGGCTGGGCTGGACTGAGCTGAGCTGGGATGAGCTGAGCTGGGATGAGCTGAGCAGGACTGGGTTGAGCAGGACTTGATTGAGCTGAGCTGCTCTAGGATGAGCTGAGCTGTTCTGGGCTGGGCTGGGCTGGAGTCTGCAGGTCTGGTTGGCCTTTGTAGAGTTAAGCTGAACTGAGTTTAAAGTGGGAATATTTTGGCTGTCATTAAAGTCGAACTGGGGGCTCAGGAGAGTGTCGTGGGCATGTGTGCACACCAGAGCGACTGAGGCAGCGGTTAAAGGGGCTCTGAAGTGGTCTTTGTCCTTCATTCATGTGCTGTCTGAACCCCATAGATGTCAGCTGGGAGGCAGAGCACTATGCAGGCCTTGCTGGTCAGGCACAGCCTTGGTGAAGGGAAAACCAACACTCAGGTATCTGAGAAGCTGAGCCCAGTAGACCCAGGGAGCAGGGCCCTGAGCAGGAGTCTGGCAGCCCTGCCCTCAATGTGCTCCGAAACAGATCTGGAATGACAGAGAGGACCGCTGGTCCTGGGAAGGTCCCCGGGCCCCATGGTGTACAGGTGAGGACAGAAGGACAATCTGCCAGTTCCTGGAGTCTTTGGGTCATCACCAGGCCCTATGGGGTCTCTGTGCTCTGGATTCAAACCTAGGGACAGCCTCGTTCCTCTCCTCCTTCAGAGTCCACATCCAGCTCTCCTGGGAGCCATCTGGGGACAGTGAGTGAACAAAGCCCAGCAGGGCGTAGGGAATCAGGGGGATCCTGGGCCTAGAGAACCAACACAGGGTCCTGCAACAGTTTGGCTGGCTGCCTCCCAAACTGGAGCAGGGTGCCCAGAGCCCTGCTCTGTCACAGCCCCCCTTCAGACCCCCCCAGACAGGCGGTGATCTGAAGCCAGTCTGACCTAGATTCTGTCCCACAGCCTCTGTCAAGGCCCCTTCGATCTACCGCTTGAAGCCTTGCACCAGAGGCACTGGCCCTTTGACACTGGGGTGCCTGGTCAAGGACTACTTCCCAGACCCCATGACGGTGACCTGGTATACAACCGCCTTGAACACGAGCACCATGAACTTCCCTGCCAAAACCCTCAGCTCAGAACTCTCAGTCGCCGCCAGCAGTATCACCACCTGGGGCCCGTTGGCCAAGGACAACTTCACGTGCCACGTGGTACATGCCCCGTCCTTGACCTCCGAGAATAGAACCATCCCAGGTGAGCAGGGCTGGGCTGGCTGCAGTCACAGCAAGCCAGAACACGGTCAGAGCAGGAAGGACCCAAACATACCTGGGACAGAAAGGCAGGGGAGCGCCAGCACGCTTGGGAGCCTGGGCTGGGGCCTGAGGAGACACAAGGTCGGGGGGCAGGGGATACTCACAGTTCACTGCCTCTGCCCAGCGTTACCTGTAACCCGGCCCACCGTGAAGCTGTTGCACTCATCCTGCGACCCCAGTGCCTTCCACTCCACCATCCAGCTCTACTGCTTCGTTTACGGCCACATCGCTGATGATGTCAGGATCACCTGGCTGAAGAACGATGAGAAGATGCCCGACACATTCCCACGTGAGTTCACACTCAAGAAGGAGGGCAAGCTAGCCTCCACCTACAGTGAGCTCAACATCACCCATCAGCAGTGGGCATCTGAGAGCACCTTCTCCTGCAAGGTCACCTCTCAAGAGGTGACCTACTGGGCCCATGCCCATCAGTGTGCAGGTAGGTCCCCACCCGCCTGACGCCCAGACCCTTAGGGGTGTGAAGGTCAAGCAGGGTTTCACATAGTCCTCCATACCCCACAGATTATGAGCCACGTGGCGTGAGTACCTACCTGATCCCGCCCAGCCCCCTGGACCTGTATGTACACAAGACACCCAAGCTCACCTGTCTGGTGGTGGACCTGGAAAGCGCAGACCGGGTCAGTGTGAGCTGGACCCAAGAGGATAAAAAATCTGCAACCTCAGAACCCCAGCATGTCACCAAGCACCACAACGCCACAACCAGCATCACCTCCACCCTGCCAGTGGATACCAAGGACTGGAGTGAAGGCAAAGGCTATCGGTGCATAGTGAACCACCCTGACCTGCCCAAGCCCATTGTGCGTGCCATCACCAAGGCGCCAGGTGAGCACAAGCCACGGGCAGTAGGCAGGTCCTCCTTCACAGCCAGAGAGACTAAAGCCTGGCTACCCTTGTCCGTCCACAGGCAAACGCTCACCTCCTGAGGTCTACATGTTCCTGGGGCCAGAGGTGGAGAACAAGAGCCATCGTACGCTCACCTGCCTGATCGAGAACTTCTTCCCCGCTGACATCTCAGTGCAGTGGCTTCGGGATGGCGAACCAATCCAGAACGCCCAGTACAGCACCACGGCACCCCTGAAGGCCAACGGCGCCGATCCTGCCTTCTTCATCTTTAGCCGTCTGGAGGTCACCAAGGTGAACTGGGAGCAGAATAACAAATTCACCTGCCGCGTGATCCATGAGGCCCTGCAGGAACCTAAGACCTTGGAGAAAACTATGTCCAAGAGCCTTGGTAAATGACGCCTCCCTCCCTTCCAGGGCTCTGTGCAGCTGGGGCAGGGCAGGAGGGCTGCAGACCTCTGCCCACTTTTGTAACGACACCAGGAAGCCACCCCAATAAACACTCCATGCCTGCTTGGATCCCTGGGTGCCCGTTCTTGGGGAGGGTAGGTTGTGGACAGACGTTTCTTGGCACAGAGGAAGGAACGCCACGAGAGAGGCAGGGGTGAAGCTCGGCTCATCAGTCTGGCTGTGTGTTGAGTATTTGCCAAGTAAGACGCCATAGGGGTTCAGCATAGGCACGTCCATCCTTCCTGCCCCCACTGTGCATAGTGCCCCTCAGAGGTGTCCATAGAGCCAGAAGGGATCTGCAGAGAGTAGCCAAAGTGAGCTGGCCTTGACCCCCATCCCTCTGTTTGGCAAGTTCCTGCTCCCCAGGTGTCCCTGGATACTAGAACCCATCCAGGTGGAGAACTAGACAGAGTTAGAATCCCAGCAGACAGGCCCTGCCCTTCCCGCTGTGCTCAGGAGCCCTTGGGGCTGAGCCATCTTCCCCCACAGCCCTGACCACCCGCCCCGCCACATGGTCATAGCAGGCCGGCATCAGCACCTGGTGTCCCTCATCTTACTGCCCAGGCTCACTCCAACCCAAATCCACCCCGAAGACTGGAATGGGCAGCCAGCCTAACACAGTCAGGTGTGCCCAGGCTAGCACACGCACGGCCATGCACTCCGGCCTTCGACAGCTCCAGCCGCACCTGGCACCACCAACAGCATGCAGTCGGAGGTTCCTGACAGGCCAGCACACCTCACCCGAGCTCGGACACGGCCTGTGCTGGGTTTCCCGTTACCTCTGCCAGCTCGGGCTGTTCCCAGTACTTCCTTCTATCCACCCGAGCCACTGCATCCAAGACAGAGACAGGAGCCTCACCCCTCACAGTGAGCCCAGTGTCTTCCAAGTGGCCTCCTCCTGTGGCCTCGGCCTCCCAGCCCATACTTCCATATCTGCTAACATATACCCTAACACAGACACACACACACACACACACACACACACACACACAACAAGGTATGGGCTCTATTATGCTCTCCGGTTCAACCACAACCAGGAGCAAGCTAGCTATCCATCCCAGTGCCTGAGGAATGAGGAGGCCAGACCCAGGCCACACCCACCTCATCCCCAGCCACTGGCACATCTGGCTCACACACCTGAAACCAGAGGTCCCCATCATGCACACACAGTTATGCAGACAGTGGAGCCAGACCATGCCCACCACATTCACAGAGATGAGTGCACAGCCTCCATATCTGAGATGCCTCAAAAGCCCAGTAATGGTAGAGTCGACCAGCACCTCAGGGCTGCCTTCAGGCCCATCCTTACACCTCCACCTGCCCCAGCCCCAGCCCCAGTTCATGACCAACAAAGAAGCCCAGAGACAGAGAGGTGGGCTGCGTGGGAGCTGGGGAGAGCAGAAGACCAGGCAACACGGAGACTAGGGCAGGAGTAGAGCCCCTGCAATGCCAGGGGGCGTCTCTAAACTCCCACAGTCCTGAGCTCAGAGCCCATGTGCCCTGGCCAGCCTTTAGAGACCACAGCAAGATTCCTGGGGCCCAAGTCTGCATGCGGGTCTTGGAATCAGCCTGTGAGCTCATAGCCCTTCCTGGAGAGCCCTGGGCACTCTGAGGAGGGACAGGCCTGCAGGATAGGCAGAAGCAGCATCCTGTGTCCAGGACAGAAGCCATGCCAAGTGGTAGGAGGAACATGCCAGGCCACCGTGGGCACTAGGGGAGGAAGAGAGAATGAACAGTCAGGGTCAGAAAGGCACAGAGGACTGGGCTGCTCTGACAGTGGCTCCAGGACTGGCCAGGGATGCAGGGCAGTCCCAGAGGGGGTGGGATGAGGAGCTCTGTCACTCCAGCTTCAGCAGGCTTGCATGAAACCAGTGAGGCCCTCCCCTCCCCACTGTGGCCCAGAGTCTGGGGAAGCTGACTGACTGGTCCCCCCAGAGCTAGACCTCCAGGAACTGTGTACGGAGGAAGCCGAGAGCCAGGAGCTGGAAGGGCTGTGGACCAGCACCTACATCTTCATCACCCTGTTCCTGCTCAGCGTGAGCTACGGGGCTGCCGTCACCCTCATCAAGGTGGGGCCCTGCACCTCAGCGGGTGGGATCTGGGGGGGGCCCGAGCCAAGCTGCGCAGCTGTCCTCATGCATGCCCTTCCCCCAGGTCAAGTGGGTCTTCTTGGCACTGACGCAGGGCACACCCCAGACCCTCCATGACTACGCCAACATTCTCCAGCCCAGGGCCTAGGCACAATGCCATCACCCACACAGGCCTATCTACATGTATGCCTGAGCCTCCTGGAGCTCCTGCTCTGCCCTGGGTGCAGAAGGGAGCAGAGCTACTCACAGGGACCACAGTCGAGGACCAGCAACTGATGCACCACAGTCCAGAAAATTCCAGTTCAAAGCACCAGTGTAGGCTGCTCTTTGGGACAAGCCTTGGAACAGCATCTGTCCCCACAGCAATGTGACCTGAGTTGTGGGATGGGTGCTGACCACCTGGGTTCACCCCAGGCCTATAGGGTCACTCCATTTTAATTAAACAATCACAAAATCACAACATGGGTCCAGAGCCTATGGTTGTCCCCTCCCTGCCCCCACACCTAGGATCCAGAGAACCAGCCCAGTACGAGCCCAGGGCCTCACTCCCAGAAATCATCCTACCCCACCATCCTCGATATAACCCAGTCTTTCCCTAAAAGCCCTCAGTCCCTGCAGAATGAGGAGGCGGACAGACCTTCGGAAACAAGGCCTGTAGGAACTGGAGGACTCACTTCAGATCTCTGGGCTGGGCAGAGAGGCCCCAGAGCACAAGAAGGGGTTCCATAGGGAGCAGCTGCTGGGCCTAGCTCTCCAGCCTCATCCACCTCGGGCCCTGGCCTGGCATTCCTACTCTGTTGCTGAATTTCTTAATAAAGTTCTTTGCCACGGTCCCATGTTTTCTGAGAGTATTTTGGGCAGTGTCTGTGGCCACCAATGAGGATGAAGGAGGCAGGGAGCTCCAAGGACAGGAACACGGGGAAGAAAGGGCCAGGATCAAACAGCCACCTCTGTGAGAGCCTTCAAAACCCAGAGATCCAGCCCAGTACCTCCCGACCCCTGTCAGCCCATCATGCTGTTGGCCTCCAGCCAGACGCACCTCTCCCTTCTTAGACTGAAGTAAAGGCGACAGTCAACCCACTGTGTGCAAAGCAAGAGGGGCCCACTGTGTGCAAAGCCAGAGGGGCCCGACACAAAGCCAGGGGAAGTCAGAGCAGGACCCCAGGAACATGGCTGCAAGTCACCTCCCACGACCACAGTCTGTCTACCCACTGAGTACAAACAGGCTAATAATCCTCTCACCCCAGCTGGTACATCAACTGGGCTGAGGGAGGACACACAGGTGTGCCTGAGTCATCCAGGGATGGAGCCACCATTCCTGAGAAGAAGCCTGATGATCCAGAAAGACTGAAGGTACAGGTACAGGGAGGGTCCATCTGGCCAGCACAGCAGTGAGCCTGGGGGCATACCCCAACTCAGCACAAAGAGGAAGCTCTCCTGCTTGAAGAGACCACTTACAGGGTTTCTGTACAATCCCACAAAAATAAAGGAGAATGCATTAACTCACATGATGAAATGCAGGGTTCTCTCATATACGAAGAGTGCTCAGGAAACAATAAGATAAAAGGATTCTTCATGCAAAGGAAAAATCCAGCAGTCAATGGCATGCAGAAAATGCTTCAGTGAACAGAACATTTGCAGTAAGGTGCCATGGTGCACATGGCCCTCCTGGGTCCTGGCTGAGGGCATGAGAATTGCTAAGACCACTGTGAGGGAAATTGACCAAACACTCATGGCACTAGACCCACGGGGAGATCCACTTTGGGGTGCCAAACTCAGCACCATGGGGTCTCTGACAGAACTAGGATGGAAATAAGCCTGCAAGCACCATTCCACAGCCCCCTGTCCTCTGAGCCCTGCCCTCCCCTGTGAAGTGGGGCTCCTTGCAGGCTTCAGGGCAACCAGGGCATGGGTGGCAAAGGCATGAAGGCCAGCCCCTACCAGGTGCCACTCAGGACCAGGAGAGGGGTGACTGGTGGGAACGGAGGAGAGGCGCTGCCCTGGATGCATCCAAAGCCCAGCCCTGCCCAGCTCACTCACACATGTGCTCATACTCAGGAGCATGCAGTCACTCATGTTCAAACACGTGTCAGGCACACAGACACATTTATGAGTGCACACACAGAGTCACACACACACACACAGACACACACACAGAGCACACACTCTAAAACACAGGCCTGTCTCACATTCACACGCTCATTAAAAGCCAGGCCCTGGCCTACTCCTCCTCCTATGCCCCAGCCACTTCCATGCTGAGGCCCTGGTAGACCTCTTCCCCAACCAGCTCGTAGACCAACTCCCCAGAAGGCATAGCTCAGCACCTTCTGATGACCAGCCCTCCAGACCATTAATTAGAACTCAAAGACACAGGACACAGGCAGCAAGGATTCAGCTCACCCGGCTCTCCCCGTATGGCATGCACTGTCACACGCTACCAAATCCACCTCACACAGGCTTGGGAGGAAAGAGTCCAGAAAGCTGGACCCAGGCAGCCTGGCCAGCCACCCTGCCCTCCTCACGCTGTGGCCTCCTGGGACCAAGAGAGCACCTCCCTAGGCCCTGCCCCTCCTCTCTGCTCCTTTATCAGCCCACCATGGAGGGCTGCGTGGGAGTCCTCAAAAGACACAACCACATCCTGAAGCCTAGGAGTGTGACCTTACTGAGACCAGGTCTTCAAAAATGTGACCAAGGTAACCATCTCAAGACAAGGTCATCATGGACTAGCTAGTGGGCCAAGTGGGACAGAGGCAGGGCCCAGGGAGAATCAGCCCAAGCCCTGAATGCCTGTGTCCTCCAAACTCAAAAGACCAAGCAAAGATAATAACCAGAGGTGCTGTGTCCAACGCTGATCAGGAAGACCGGGGGGAGCTCACAACGAACTCCTTAACAAACACTGCCGTAAGAGCTTGGGCTACACGCAGCCACTGCGACCCTGCACAGACAAACCTCTGTGGGGCATCAGCCCAACTGCCTGTCCCTCCTCGTAGCCACAGATGGGCAGCAGCCTGACTTTGTTCCACTTGGAAATACTTCCCGGCCCTGATGGCACACGGTAGCTGGTACCACCATGTTAGCATGCTGTCCTGGGAGGGCGTTTTGTGACTGGCATTGACAAACCCTAAGTCCAAAAGGTGGTAACGCGGTCACTGGGGTGCAGGCTTCTGACAGGGCACATCTTTCAGTGGCCCTTAATGGACCAGGAGGCAGCATTTACCAGACTGACCACGCCTGGAGCCTGCCTTGGGTGTCCACCCTCCAGAACAGAGAGGTGAGCATTTACTAAGCCACCCAGCCTGTGGTATTTTGTTACAGCAACAGAAATGACTAAGAGGCAGCCACAATGTCCCTCTAAGGCATGCCAAGACGGACAAAAAAAGCTCCAGAGCCTCTTGGAGACAGGTGTGTCCTCCCAGGTCCCCAGAGCCCGGCCCTCCTCCCCACTCGACCTCCCAGCCTCCTCTGACTCGCCTCACAGCCAAGGCGCCTTCAGTTTACCACACACTTTCCAAGGCTGCTGTGGCAGCCCCTCCTCTGTAAACTATCCATCTGAGACCCCAGAAGAGCTGACTTGCCACCCCAGAACCCAGTGACATCCACACACCCCATTGCACCTGCTGGCTTACAGTCTCCCCTCCAGACAGGGCCCTTCCCAAGTCAAGGACTGACCAGTGCCTGTGTGAAGCTCCAGAGTCCTACTACGATGTAAACACCGCCCAGTGGCGGAGCCTACCAAGGGGGACACTGGGGAGGGTACAGTGGGATGTGTGGAACAGCTAAACATGAGAACCCCGCCTCGGCAGCCTCCGAAGGGGCTTGTGGGCAAAGGCCTCGGTGTGGGAAAGCCTCGGTAGGGAGTTGGTCCCGAGCAGCAGGGAATGCAAACAGGTGTAGCACTGCATTGCGACCTGCAGGCTCCCACCTTGGGCCTCAGCCCAGGGCCTCCAGTTTCTCACAGAACTAGCAGAAAGGGCAGCCAGGATGGATGATGACCAAGCTGGAGTGGCATCAGTCAGACCATGTCAGACACTCACTCCACCCTGATGCCCACCCTGTAACCGCCCCAAGATCTTCCCAGAGGCCTCCCTGGCTGGGGGGTCCCTCTGGAGCAGCCTTCCCTCTCTGAGTTGCTGCCAACATGCCCTCAGACCTTCCTCCAGTTCTGACTGGCCTCTCTCCCTCTCCATCCCCGCCTCAGTGTCCCTGAGTGACTGTCCATTTCAATCTCCTTCCCTGTATCTCAGGCCCCAACCTAGTCCTGTAGCCTGACATGTGGAGTCCTGGCCCCACCATGGCCAATGGGATCAAACACACAGGCCAGACACACCTGTCCCCACCACAGCCAGACCACAGACCAGACATGACGTGGAGCGAGCGGCCACAACGTGGAGGTGGAACAGGAAGTGGGTGAGGGACCCCATCTAGGGGCCAGACACACAGTCATGCAGCCCCTCTCCGGCCTGTGCCCTCAGCACACCATCACAGGCAACCACATACAGAGAAGAACAGGGCCTCCAGACCAGGCCTGAGCCAGCCCTGAGCTCCCTAGCCTCTGCTGCTCCTTGAGGGCAGACTGGCGAGAACCATGATGGACCTTCCATGTGGTGCTGCCCAGCCAGGGGAGGGCTGCCCAGTCGCTGCCCGTGGAGAACTCTCTGCAGCCTCGAGCAGGTGGGTCCCTGTACTCTCTGGCCTCCTCTGCTCACTGGCATAGCAAGGAGTCTCAGGTGTGACAGCACAGGCCAGAGAAGCCACCAGGAAAGAGAGGAAGATTTGCAGAGCAGAGCCCAGGACGTGAGCGTGCATCGGCACAAGCCAGTGCCACAGGCTAAGGTGCAGGAAGACAAAACAGAACTTCCTGGAAAGAAACAAGAGGAGGCTCACAGGCTAGACTGGACTGGGAGACAGCAGCAAATGCTGGGGTGCCCCAAGCCTCAGGGCACTGAGCTGGGCTAAGCTGGACTGGGCTAATCTTGGCTAACCTGGGCTAAACTGAGATGAACCACTGAGCTAGGTTGAAATAGGCTGGTCTGAGCTTGGCTGGTCTGAGGTGGACTGGACTGGGCAGGTTAAGCTGGGCTAGGCTAATCTTGACTAACCTGGGCTAAACTGAACTGAGATGGACTGACTGAGCTAGGTTGAAATGGGCTGGTCTGAGCTGGACTGGGCTGGACTGGTGGGCTAGGTTAGGACAAGCTGTGATGAGCTGGGCTGGTATAAGCTAGGCTGAGCTGGGATGTGCTACTCTGGTCTAAGCTGGACTCGGTTGAGCTGGGCTAGGCTAGGCTAACCTGAACTAGGCCAAGCTGAGCTGGGTTGTGTTGGACTGAGCAAAGCTGAGCTGGGCTAACCTGAGCTAAGCTGAATTAAGTTGGACTGACTGAGCTGGGCTAGGATGAACTGGGTTAGGCTGGGATGACCTGAGCTAGGCCAAACTGAGTTGGGATGAACCAGGCTGGGCTAGGCCACGCTAGGCTGGGCTGGCCTGCCTGATCTAGGCTGGGCTGGCCTGCGCTGGTCTGAGCTGAACTGGGCTGGGTTGGGATGAGCTGAGCTGGGCTGGGTTGGGATGAGCTGAGCTGGGCTAAGCTGGGATGCACTAATATGAACTGAGCTGGATTGAACTGAGCTAGACTGGATGGGACAGTCTAGTCTGAGCTGGGCTGTCTGAGCTAGACTAGGTCAGGCTGAACTGAGCTGGGCTGGGTTAGGATGAGCTATGATGAGCTGGTGTGACTGGTCTGGTGTGAGCTGAGCTGGTCTGAGCTGGTCTGAGTTGGGCTAGGCAGGGCTGGGTTAGGATGAACTATGGTGAGTTGGCGTGAGTTGGTCTGGTGTGAGCTAAGCTGGCCTGAGCTGAGCTGAGCCAGGTTAGGCTGGACTGGGCTGGGCTGGGCTGGGCTGGGCTGGGCTGGGCTGAACTAGGTTGAGCTGGGCTGAGCTAGCCTGAATTGGGCTGGGCTGGGCTAGCCTGAGTTGGGCTGAACTAGGTTGAGCTAATCTGAGCTGACCTGAGCTGGACTGAACTAGACTAAACTGAGCTGAGCTGGGCTAAACTGAGCTAGACTGGACTGGGAGGGTCTAGTACGATCTGAGCTGGGTTGAGCTAGGCTGACTTGGGCTGAGCTAGATTGAACTGAGATAAAATAGTCTAGGCTGAGCTGGGCTGAGCTGGGTTGAGCTAGGCTGAGCCAGGGTGAGCTGGATTTAACTGAAATAAACTGGTCTAGGCTGAGCTGGGCTGACCTAGACTGGACTGGGAGGGTCTGGTCTGATCTGAGCTGGGCTGACCTGAGCTGAGCTGGATTGAACTGAAATAAACTGGTCTAGGCTGAGCTGGGCTGACCTAGACTGGACTGGGAGGGTCTGGTCTGATCTGAGCTGGGCTGACCTGAGCTGAGCTGGATTGAACTGAGATAAGCTGGTCTAGGCTGAGCTGGGCTGAGCTAGACTGGACTGGGAGGGCCTGGTCTGATCTGAGCTGGGCTGGACTGAGCTAGGCCAGGCCAGGCTAAGCTGAGCTGGGCTGGGCTGGGCTGGGCTGGGCTGGGCTGGGCTGAGCTGGGTTGAGCTAGACTAGACTGGGAGGGTCTGGTCTGATCTGAGCTGGGCTGGTTGAGCTAGACCAGGCCAGGCTGAGCTGAGCTGAGCTAGGCTGAGCTGGGCTGAGCTAGACTAGGCCAGGCTAAACTGAGCTGGGCTGGGCTGGGCTGGGCTGGGCTAGGCTGGGCTGAGCTGGGCTGAGCTAGACTAGGCCAGGCTAAGCTGAGCTGAGCTGGGCTGGGCTGGGCTGGGCTGGGCTGGGCTGGGCTGAGAGGGTCTGGTCTGATCTGAGCTGGGCTGGTTGAGCTAGACTAGGCCAAGCTAAATTGAGCTGGGCTGGGCTGGGCTGAGCAAGACTGGACTGGGAGGGTCTAGTCTGATCTGAGCTGGCCTGGTTGAGACTAGGCCAGGCTGAGCTGAGCTGGACTGGGCTGACCTAAGCTGGACTGAGCTGGGCTAAATTGGGCTGAGTTAGGCTGGGCTGGTCTGGGCTGGTCTAAATTAGGCTAGGCTGGTCTGAGCTGGGCTAGATGAGCCGAGCTAAGCTGAACTGGGATGAGTGGGTTAAGCTGGGCTACACCGAGCTAGGCTAAACTGAGCTGGACTGGGCTGGGTTGGGCTGCTATAGGCTGTGCTGCTCTGGGCTGAGCTGAGCTGGGCTAGCTGAGCAAGGCTGGATTGGGCTGAGCTGAAGAGCTGAGCTAGGCTGGGCTAGGCTGAACTAGGCTAGGCTGGGCTAGGCTGAGTTGAGCTGAGTTGAACTGAGCTAGGCTAGGCTGAGCTAGGCTAAGCTGTGCTGGCCTGGGCTAGGCTGGGCTGGACAGGGCTGGGCTGAGTTGAGCTAAAGTAGGCTAGGCTGGACTGGGCTAGGCTGGGCTAGGCTAGGCTGGGCTTGGCTGAGTTGAATTGAGCTAGGCTAGGCTAGGCTGGGCTGAGTTGATCTAAACTAGGCTAGGCTGGACTGGGCTAGGCTAGGCTGGACTGGGCTAGGCTAGGCTAGGCTGGGCTGGGCTGGGCTGAGTTAAGCTGAGCTAGGCTAGGCTAGGCTGGGCTGAGTTGATCTAAACTAGGCTAGGCTGGACTGGGCTAGGCTGAGCTAAATTGGGCTAGGCTGGACTGGGCTGGGCTGAGTTGAGCTAAACTAGGCTAGGCTGGACTGGGCTAGGCTGAGCTAGGCTAGACTGGGCTAGACTGGGCTGGGCTAGGCTAGGCTGGACTGGGCTGGGCTGAGTTGAGCTAAGGTAGGCTAGGCTGGACTGGGCTAGGCTACGCTGGGCTGGGCTAGGCTGGGCTAGGCTAGGCTGGGCTGGGCTGAGTTGAACTGAGCTAAGATAGGCTAGGCTGAGCTGAACTGAGCTAGTCTGGGCTAGGCTAGGCTGAGCTAGGCTGAGCTAGGCTAGGCTGGGCTGAGTTGAGCTAAGGTAGGCTAGGCTGTACTGGGCTAGGCTGGGCTAGGATAGACTGGGTTGGGCTGAGTTGAACTGAGCTAGACTAGGCTAGGCTAGGCTGGGCTAGGCTGAGCTGAACTGAGCTGGGCTGGGCTGAGCTAGGCTAGGCTAGGCTGGGCTGGGCTAGGCTGGGCTGGGCTGAGTTGAACTGAGCTAGGCTAGGCTGGACTGGGCTAGGCTGGGCTAGGATAGACTGGGCTGGGCTGAGTTGAAATGAGCTAGGCTAGGCTGGGCTGGGCTAGGCTGAGCTAAGGTAGGCTAGGCTGGACTGGGTTTGGCTGGGCTAGGCTAGGCTGGGCTAGGCTGAGTTGAACTGAGCTAAATTAGGCTGGACTGGGCTGGGCTGGGCTAGGCTAGGCTGGACTGAGCTAGGCTGGGTTAGGCTAGGCTGGGAGGGGCTGAGTTGAACTGAGCTAAGCTAGGCTAGGCTGGGCTGGGCTGAGTTGAGCTAAACTAGGCTAGGCTGGACTGGGCTAGGCTAGGCTAGGCTGGGCTGGCCTGGGCTGGGCTGAGTTGAGCTAAGGTAGGCTAGACTGGACTGGGCTAGGCTGGGCTAGGCTAGGCTAGGCTGGGCTGTGCTGAGTTGAGCTAAGGTAGGCTAGGCTGGACTGGGCTAGGCTAGGCTGGGCTGAGCTGAACTGAGCTAGGCTAAGCTGGGTTGAACAGGGCTAAACTAATCTGGGCTAGGCTGGGCTGAGTTTTGCTGGCTCGGGCTGGAATGGGCTAGCTGACCTAGGCTGGGCTGGGCTGAGATAGGCTGAGTTGAGATGACCTAGGTCAGAGGGGACTGGTTGAGCAAGGCTGGGGCAGGTTATCTGAGCTAGCCTGAGCTAGATTGGAATGAGCAAGGTTGGACTGGGCTGAGCTGAGTTGAGCTGGGCTGGGCTGGGCTGGGCTGGGCTAGGCTAAGTGAGCTCTCTGGGATAGGCTAGGCTGAGTTGAGATGAGCTAGGTTAGACAAGACTGGCTGAGCTAGGCTGGCACAGGCTATCTGCATTAGCCTGAGCTAGGCTAGCTGTGCTGGCTGGGCTAGACTGAGCTGGCCTGAACTGAAATGGACTGAACTGAACTGAACTGAACAAGGCTGGGCCAGGCTCACTGAGCTGGGCTGAGTTGGGCTAACCTGAGCTGGTCTGGGCTGAATTGGGCTGAGCTGGGCTGAGTTAAATTGAAGTGGGCTGAGCAAAGTTAGGATGTGGTGAGCTAGGCTGGGATGAGCTGAGTTGGATTAAACAAGGCTACACTGGCTCAGTTTGGCTAAGCAAAGCTATGGGATGGGCTGGCTGAGCTAGGCTGGCCAAGATAGGCTGAGCTAGGCTGTTTAGGTCTGAGCTAGGCTGGGATGGGCTGGGATGGGATGGGCTGGCTGAGCAAGGCTGGCCAAGACAGGCTGAACTAGGCTGTTTAGGTCTGAGCTAGGCTGGGATGGACTGGGATGGGCTGGGCCAGGCTGGGCTGAGCGTATTCATAATCCTGTCTATTCTTCACTGTGTTGAGCTAAATTCATATGGGATTAGTGCTGCAGTGATTGGAAGCCTCAGGCTGAATGTGGACCATCTGTTCTTTCATGGGTCCAGATGGTCTCCTCGTTTGTTTGTGGTGGTCACGTAGCTCAGTGTCCATTTCACATCCCCTCCTCTTCTCCCCCAACCGCCTGACAGAAATTCAACTGCACTCAGGGCTAGTGCACACCAGTGCTCCTGTCCTACACAGAGAGAAACACTGCTTGGATTTAGGCCTCTGGCCTAGAGATACTTGTACACATTGGGGGTAGGAGTTCACTACTTGTTAGGTAGCTGGGTAGGGTTGGTGTGGTGGTGGGTGATAGGTCTAAGGCCCTGACAGGACAAGTGTGAGATGGAAACACAGGCAGGATGGTCCTCCCCAGTGTGACCTTAAAGCCATCCCTTGCCCTGTCACCTCCACCTGCCCTGGCCTATCAGTCATGATCCTCCAAACCCTGGACTTGAGAGCACAGCTGTACCCACTGCCAGTCATGAAGTGAGGCCTGATGCCAATCATGAAGTAAGGCCCGATGCCAGTCATGAAGTGAGGCCTGATGCCAGTCATGAAGTGAGGCCCAATTTGGGCCACTGGACTGGCACAGTCCTGTTCGTAAGGACTCTGGTATGTACAGACTCCTTCTGAAGGCTCCTGGCCAGGTTCTCATGAAGGACTGCCTGAGGTCATGTTCAGAGACTGTACAGCCAGAACTTTCGGTCAGTCAGTTCAGACTGCAGACCCATGACACAGGGGCTATGTGACACTGGGCAATCACTGGACCTCTGAGCTGGGTTCTCTAGTGTAAAGGAAAGGCAGATGTAGCTGGAGAGATGGCTCAGTAATTAAGAGCAGGTACTGCTCTCTTCCAGAGGACCCAAGTTCAGTTCCCAGCACCCACATCAGGCCGTCCACAACTGCCTATAACTCCAGCTCCAAGGGAATCCAATGCCTCTGACATGCCTGTCACAGAAACACATGTAATTAATAATAATAATAAAACTGTTTCTAAAGAAAAGAAAAGCCAGGCATGGTCCTGCCCCCAGGAATTAGCTCAGGCAGGTGGTGTGAGGACACCCATCTCACTTGTGTCCCGTATTCCAGAGTCCCCGAAGAAACCCGATGTCTACCCCCTGAGCCTCCCTAAAGCCGCATTAGGATCCGAGTCAGTGACCATCGGCTGCCTGATTCAGAATTACTTCCCCTCGGAACCTGTGAGCGTGACCTGGAGCAAGAGTGGCGCCACCATAAACTACCCACCTGCCCAGGCCGAGAGCCTCTACACCATGAGCAGCCAGCTGACCCTGCCCGCTGCTGAGTGCCCAGAGAATACATCCGTGACGTGCTCTGTGCAGCACTACACTAACCCCGTCCAGACAATGGATGTGCCCTGCCTTGGTAAGAGGGTGGGCTGGGGTGGGGCCGGTCCTGCCCTAACCTGAGGCCCAGGCTCCTGCCTCCCTCCGAGGCAGTCCTCTGCAGGAAACTCTCCCAGCACAGTGGCCACAGACGAGGCAGAAGGAGCTAAGGACCTGGAGCAGGCGGAGAAGGGGACAGGGAAGGGGTCAGGAGGAGCTACTGACCTGCTAGGCCCTCTTAATTTCAGTTCCAGATCCAGTTCCACCTCCTATTTGCCCGAACTGCAACCTCCGACTGTCGCTGCAACGGCCAAACCTTGAGGACCTGCTTATGGGCTCGGATGCCAGCCTCACATGCACACTGAGTGGCCTGAGAAACCCTGAGGGAGCCACCTTCACCTGGGAGCCCAGCACCGGGAAGAATGCCGTGCTGAAGGCACCAGTGCAGGACTCCCAAGGCTGGTACAGTGTGTCCAGCGTCCTGCCTGGCTGTGCTGAGCCCTGGAACAGTGGGACGACCTTCAAATGCACAGTCCGCCACCCTGAGTCCAAGGAGCCGCTAACTGAAAGCATCGCCAAAGAAAGAGGTGGGCCCAGCCACACCCCTGGGGCGCTGTGCGCCATTGTGTGCTTGGAGCCTGCTCCTCCCTGCGGCGCTTGTGTTCGGCAGCTCCCACCCCGTGTCATAGTGGGAAACTGAGGCCATCTGAAAGACTGTGCGGCAAGGTGGGGGCAGGGAGGATCTTTGCGCTCATGTTCTAACCCATGACCCTTCTCTCTACCTTCCAGAAAACAAATTCCCACCCCAGGTCCATCTGCTACCGCCGCCGTCGGAGGAGCTGGGCCTGAACGAGCTGGTGTCCCTGACCTGTCTGGTGCGAGGATTCAGCCCTAAAGATGTGCTAGTACGCTGGCTGCAAGGAAACCAGGAACTTCCCAAGGAAAACTACCTCGTGTTCGAACCCATGAAAGAGTCAAGCGAGGGTCCCACCACCTACGCGGTGACCAGTGTGCTGCGTGTTTCCGCTGAATCCTGGAAACAGGGTGACAACTTCTCCTGCATGGTGGGCCACGAGGCCCTGCCCCTGGCCTTTACCCAGAAGACCATCGACCGCCAGTCGGGTAAACCCACCCACGTCAACGTGTCTGTAGTCATGTCAGAGGCAGATGGCGTCTGCTACTGAGCTGCCTCACCTGCCCCATCCCCTAATAAACTCTGTGCTTATCCAAAGCAGCTCTGCACTTCCATCTGGTGCCTGTCCATCATCCTCAGGGCCTACAGAACACCAGGAGGGGCCAGGACCCAGGGAGGGAGGAGCACCCACTGCCTGAGCCTTTGTGGCCTCAGGAACCTTAAAGGTCCCTCATGCCTGGAGCGCATGCATGTACATGTGCATGTACCAGTGTGTGCCTATAGATGTATGTACATGCGCATTTGTGTTTGTGTACCTGTTATGCCTTTGGGGAGCTATGAATTTGTGTGGTCCTGTGAGTGCGTGTGTATGTGTCTCTGCCTGTCTCTCTGTCCCTGTAAGCAGGTGTGCGCCTGTGTGTACCATGAGTATGCATGTCTCTATGTGTGTGCTTATGTGGGTGGGAGCGTGTGTGTGCCTGTGAATGTGTGCACCTACCATGTGAGTGTTCGGCGAATGGGGATAAGGCCCAGCTGGGTATGAATGAGGTCGGCACACTCCAGCCAAAGCAGAGGGAGGGTCCCAAGGGCAGCGGGCAGCTGCATGAGCCTGAGTGGCAGCGAATGGCCATGTGTGTCTTGGACTGCAGCCTCTGGATGCAGAGAGGGTAGAGAGAGCAGGCCAGCAGGAAGAACTAGGCTGGTGCCATCTGGGGGTCACAGCAGGGATGTGAAAGAACGAGGAGCTGAGCTCCAGGGGCACTGGGAGGAAGGTGGCCCCACCACCCTCAGTGGGTCAGCCTTGGGGGAGACCACAGGCATGCAGGGTGCTCACAGACTCACATGGAAGAGAGCCATGACATGGGCACAGCCTGCCGCCAGCACTCTGCTCTGTATACATGCATGTGAGCGCACATGTACACACTACATTTGCACTCTCACACACATACCTGAGCCCTGCAGGGACAGGAAGGTCACAGCTTCCAGAAGGAGAGGAGAGTCCCCTTTCAAGCCCCCAGTGGAACGGCCAGGCCCATCCTGCTGACTACACAGCTCAGGGAGGAGGCCACAGACCTCCAGGCACCCCTGCTCCCTTCCTTCCCTGAGCCCAAGTATAACAAAACCGCAAACCTGGTGGGGGACAAGGCTGGGGAGGGGCCAGGAGCAGGCCAGAGAGAGTCTCCTACACCAGCCCCTGCAGGCCTCTGCCTTCTACAACCCCCACCCCCAACCCCCACCCCAGAATACAAGTAGAAAAGTTCTACAACCCCTGTGGGTACACTTGGCACCAGGATGCCCACAAGGGGGCAGTGGGGCCCCTGCTCTTGTCTCACAGGCCTTTAGGACCTCCCCAGGGGACTGGCTTCTGGCAATTTCCCTCTGCTCTCAGGGCCATAGTGGAATGAAGGTCCATATACACCCTGGGCACTGCTCTGCCCCTTGAAAGTCCAGTTACCAGAGGGGATAGTGAGAATGCCAGGTTAGCTGGGGAAACCCCACTGAGGGAAGTGCTCCAGCCACCCATGGGGCCCAGGGCCTGCCCCAAACACAGACTTCTAATGAAGGGGAACCATTAGATGAAAGTCTGAACCCACAGTAGGAGAGTAGGCAGACAAGAAAATGGATCATAGAACTCATAATTAGTAGATGGGTGGGAGAGAAGATGAATGGATGGACGGACAGATGGAGAAAGGACAGGTAGATGGATGGATGGACAGATGGGTGGGTAAATAGATGAATGGATGGACAGATGGACAGATGGATGGGTAGATGGATGGATGGACAGATGGGTGGGTAAATAGATGGATGGATGGACAGACGGATGGGTAGATGGATGGATGGACAGATGGATGGGTAAATAGATGAATGGATGGACAGACGGACAGATGGATGGGTAGATGGATGTATGGACAAATGGGTGGGTAGATATATGGATGGATGGACAGACAGATGGATGGGTAGATGGGTGGATGGACAGATGGATGGGTAGATGGATGAATGGACAGAGGGGTGGGTGGGTGGATGATGGATGGATAGATCAATGGATGGATGGGTGGGTAGGCAGATGGAATGATGGATGGAAGGAAGGATGAATGGCTGACTGTATAAGCATATGACAACCAGTTCCCACATAACATGGGCGCTCTATGCTCTGGGACCCTGAAGATTTTCTATGCTGGAGGCCTTTACCTATTCGTTGCTGGTACAATTCCTAATGATATGACCAAGTGCTCTGGTCACATGTCCAGCCCTTGGTACACCAACCTCAGACCCAGAAACCTTTATCTCCTTAAGGGTGTCTAGTCCTGTCCAACCCCAGTACCCAGCCTAACAACTAGGGCTTGATGAGGGTTTGCTAACTATGTAGAGAGGGCTGAGACCTAGGCAGCCTTGGGCTCGAGCTCTTCTTGGAATCACAAACACAGAGACCACCCTCCTGCCCCGCCTGGTCTCTCATTAAGGTCTTCTGAGAGAGATGGGTCTTGTGAGCATCCGAGGCACTACAAGGACCTTAGCCCCTGGGGCCCTGGCTCCTGATCCATTCTGAGAAAGTCTCTGACCTAAGAAAGGGGACCCCTAGTGTATCCCCAAATCCAGAGGAGGCATAGGAAAGGAAGCCTTAGGTCTGGGCCCCATCCTCATGAATCTGGGTCTTGGAAGGTCATCTATGTCTTACAGAATGTCAGGAGCCACTTCCCTGGGTGGTACTGGACCAGCCACAGGAGAGCCTGGAGGAAGAGGCCCCAGGTGCCAGCCTGTGGCCCACCACTGTGACCTTCCTCACTCTCTTCCTACTGAGCCTGTTCTACAGCACGGCACTCACTGTAACAACTGTGCGAGGCCCATCTGGCAGCAAAGAGGTCCCCCAGTACTGACCAGGAGCCAGCGGGCCACAGGTGGGGGTCAGGAGGGACATAGGGAGATGTGAAGCGCTCAACTCTGAAGAGAGGATTTGTCTGGACCCTCCACAGGGGGCTTTGGGACCCTTCACAGACACTAAAGAAATGGGGGCCAGGGGTGATGGCACCCCCAGGATTCAACCCAGGATTCAATTCCACAAGTCAGGCCAGGGCTGGGAGAAGGGCAGGTGAAGACATGGCCCAGGCCCAGGAGCCCCTCTGACTGATCTCTCTTGTCTTTTCAGGGAAGAAGCATGGAAAACCCTCTCTACATGTCAGAGCTAAGCTCTGTGTGACAACTACCCACCAGCACCCACACACCTTCCTGTGCAATAAACTGATGCAGAATCAAAGTTTCTCGCTCTCAGCATTAACAGAGAGGGGAGGGAGGGTCAAATGGAGAGCAGTGACACCAAAGCTTACAACACGCAACGTGGGGGTAGGGGCAGGCAGGTAGGCTGCCTCTGGTCCAGGGTCTGAGACATGGCTTGGATGTGTGTGTGGTAGAAGTGAAAGACTGAACGCTGGCTTCTCTGTCATCTGTCTCTTCAGACCTGGTTCCAGGTCACAAGATCTGCTCTCTGAGCATGAGTTCTAAACACTTGGCTAGGGTCCTGGGTACTCAGGGTGGCCACTAAGCATCGGCTCCTACTATGAGCCTTGGTTCTGATGTCTGACTCCTTGTCCCAGCATAGATCCCTGGTCCTGACCACTGAGCCCTGGTCCTGATTACTGTGCCCTGGTCCTGGTCACTGGGCCCTGATCCCAATCACTGGGTCCTGGTCCTGATCACTGAGCCCTAGTCCTGGTCACTTGGCTCTGGTGCTGGTCACTGGGCCCTGGTCCCAATCACTGGGTTCTGATGCTAATAACTGTGTCCTGGTCCTGGTCCTGGTCCTGGACACTGGGCACTGGTTCTATTCACTGAGCCATGGTCCTGATCACTGTGCCCAGGTCCTGACCACTGAGTCCTGGTCCTTATCACTGAGTCCTGCTATTGGTCACTGAACCTTGGTCCTGATCACTGAGCCCTGGTCCTGGTCACTGAGCCCTGGTCCTGATCACTGAGCTCTAGACCTGATCACTGAGTCCTAGTCCTGATCACTGAGCCCTGGGCCTGGTCACTGAGCCCTGGTCCTGGTCACTGAGCCCTGGTCCTGATCACTGAGCCCTGGTCCTGATCACTGAGCCCTAGACCTGATCACTGAGTCTTAGTCCTGATCACTGAGCCCTGGGCCTGGTCACTGAGTCCTAGTCCTGATCACTGAGCCCCTGGGCCTGGTCACTGGGTCCTGAACTGGCCACTGATCCCTGAATTCTGGTTCAAAGCACACTCCTATCCCTAGTTATTTATTTATTTTTTGTTTTTTGTTTTGTTTTTTGGTCTTTGTGAAACAGGATCTCCCTGTAGCCCCAGTTGGCCTGGAACACACTATGTACACCAGGCTGGCCTTGAACTCACAGAGATCCTCCTGTCTCTGCTTCCCAAGTGCTGGGATTCAGGTGCCAGGACAATTCTGATTCCTGGGTCCTAGTGTTGGTAACTGGTTTCTGGCTCTGATTAATGGGCCCTGGTCCTGATCTGTGAAACCTGGTCCCAGTAACCTGGGCCTGGCCCTTATCATTGGTTCCTAGTTCTGGTCACTGGTTTCAGGTCCTGATTACTGGGCGCAAGTCCTGGTCATTTGTCTCTAGTCCTGGTCATTGGGACTTGGTTGTAATAATTGATTTCTGGACTCATTCATTTGGATCTGGTGCACATCCCTGAGATGTAAGTAGGGACTCTGGGCCCTGGCTCTAAGAACTGAGCCCTGGTTCTAGTCACTGGGCCCTGGTCCTGGTTACTGGGCCCGAGTCCTGGTTACTTGGCCCTGGTACTAGTCACTGGGTCGTGGTCGTGATCACTGACTGGGTCCTGATTCTAATAATTGTGTCCTGGTTCTGGTCCTGGTCACTGTGCCCTGGTTCTAGTCACTAGACCCTGGTGCTAGTTACTGGGTCCTGGTCCTAGCCACTGAGTCTGGATCCTGGTCACTGGGCCCTGGTCCTGGTCACTTGACCCCAGTGCTGGTCACTGGGCCCTAGTCAGAGCCACTGGGCCCTGGTGCTGGTCACTGGGTCCTGGTCCTGGTCACTGAGTCTTGGTCCTGGTCACTGGGCCCTGGTCCTGGTCACTGAGCCCTGATCCTGATCACTGGG